TGACCTCTCCCCGCTCTTTTTCAGGGTTTGAGCATAGACGTGCAGCACACGCACGGATATGTGTGCAGTGCACGGCACGAGGCTCTATCCAAAGCAGCACCCCTGTTTGCAGTCATCACTGCCTCTCTCCTCTCTGTCGTACACACGTAGCACACGTATGTGTTCACATCTATGTTAGGTTGCTTTTGTCAACTCGTAAGGCTACTTGTCCCTGTGTGAAGCATCCTGGGACTTGTTTCACTTAACGCGGGGTTAACCGTCTGCGCAGTCGCAAGTAGCTGTGATTTATTTAGTTCCCTGATGGACAATGCTCCACCCATTTTCTCCTTGATTGGCGTTTTTCCTGATAGGCTGCGCAAAAAAACGTTCCCCTGGTGACCTCTGCATTCCTGTCACAATGATACTGCCTGTTTCACGTCTCGCCTCTTTTGATTGAAACACGCTAAGATCTGCCTTTTGATTTCAGCAGCTACAGTCGATGCTCATGTTGCTGCTGAGGATTCAATAAAGAAGTCATAATTGGCTCTCCATTGTTAGTGGGGAAAAGTCAGACTGAGTCCTGTCAGCTGTGCACGCCCTGATCTCATTCTCTCCCACTGCCCTCAAGCCCCACCCAGCACTCACCTTATGATTCTACAACATTAAACTTTTATGATTACTACAAATACTCCACTACTGTGTTACTAAACTTTTTTTATTTGCTCCCTACTCCTGTAATGCTCTCTCCAGAGAGAGGTAAGAGTAGAAGCAAGCATGCTATCTTATTTTGTTGTATTTTTGGGACCAAACCTGGGGTCTCACTCCCTTGGGACCCTACTTCCTAAATCCAGCATTTCTCATTCACACGCATTGTTTCATAATTTTACGGTATATATATGGAATATTGATTTGCATGACTTAGAATTTTACATAAATGTTATTATACATCCTGCTTATTCCTCTGGAATTTGTCTCCACTTTCCAGTTTAGCAGCATTCCATCCTGTGAACGCAGTCTTCATTCCCCAGCCATTCTCCTTGGACGGGAGCTGTTTCCCAGGTTTGTTCTCACAGAGGGTGCTGCATCAGGGCCCTCGTGAAGCCTCGTGCACATGAGTGGTGGTTCCTATGGAGGAGATGATGCTGTGTCTTCAGTAGGAGCTCTTAGCCACATTTCTTCTCAGGACCTCCATTTCTTATCTTCCAAAAGGCACTAGTTCCCACCTCAAAGGGCACTAGGGGAACGTAGCAATTCCAAGCATTCAAACGACTTGCTAGTAGAATCTCTTTCCAATGCACACGAGTCACTGGACATGAAAGGCCTGGGACCAGACTAGTGCAGTTGTGTGCTCTATGTGTCCTGCTGTCTCTCCATGTCCACCTCTCTGGGTCCTTGGGCGTAGGCTGGTCTCCTCCAGTTCTGATTTCCCCTTTCTTCTTCCTCTACCCTTCTTTGGAAGATCGCCCTGGTTCCTCATTTTCACCTGGATAAGATTTTCTCTTTGTCTCCTACTCTCTTTAACCATCTTCACATGCTTTTCCATAATCCCCTTTATTATTTATTTATTTGCAGTACTTGGGTTTGAATCTGGGGTGCTATATACTGAGCCACATCCTTAGCCTCCCCTTTCTTTGTGGTGCTGGGGATTGCACCCAGGACCTGTGCATGCAAGGCAAGCACTCTATCAACTGAGCTATATACCCATCCCTTTTAAATTTTCTTTTAAATTTTGAAACAGAGTCTTGCTAGGTTGTTTAGGGCCTGTCTAAGTTGCTGAGGCTGGCCTTGAACTTGCAGTCCTCCTGCCTCAATCTCTCATGTCCCTGTAATAACAGGTGTGTGCTACCTCATGTGGCCCATAATCTCCTTTAAATGGTCAATGTCTTGAAGCCAGGCCCTACATTTTGTGGGTCTATGTGCCTCAGACCCTGATTATAGTGCTTGCTACATGTGCTGGTAAGTGCATGTGGAATGAGGGAATTTAAGAATTCTCTGATGGAAAGCAGTTTGAACCTAAGGATTTCTTAGAGGCAGGGCATTGGGACCAAACCAAGGGCCTCATGCATGTTAGGCAAGTGCTCTACTACTGAACTATATTCCCAGCTTCATACTTATTTTTGTGAGAACACAGGGACCAGAGGGAATGTGTTTTTCAGTGATGAAACTGCATAGAACATAATGAGTATTGAGGAGAGAACCTGCACTGCTCATCCTAGGTGTGGGCTAGATGTGCGCAAGAGCCTTTCTTTGATAGTGTCTCTGACATTGCTTTTGAAATGAGTGAATGCAGCAGCCAGGGGATGGCTGTTGAAGCAGCAAAGCTCCTGTAGCCTCTTCTAGGTGTCTAGGCATGCAGCCATTTTAGTTTGAGCAAGGCTTGGCAAACATTTTTTGAACAATGCCAGAGAGTAAGTTTTTTTCGGTTCTGGGGACTCTGTGTTCTATTCAACTCTGCTGTTGAAGTGTGAAAGCAGCCTTAGAAAATATGTAAATCCAGTGGCTGTTTTCTAATAAAATTAAATATATGGCCATTAAAATTTGAATTTTGTGTGATTTTTCTGTGTGTGTGTGTCACAAAATATTCTTTAATTTTTTTTCCCCAAACCATTCTAAAAGACCCCGGCCTAAGTGAAAGTTAGGGCTGAGGATGTAGCTCAGTGTACAGTTACTTGCCAAGAAGCGTCAGGCTCTGACTTTGATTCCCAGTACAGAAAAGGAGGGGAAAAAAAAAGCTCAACGAACCTCAGTACCAGGTTCTGGGATGCAGAGGTCGGGACCCATCGCAGGGTGGGACTCCTGTCACTACAGCAGGCCTCAGGGAAGATGTAAAATCCTGCAGTTCCTAGACTGGCCACTAGACGGCGCTCTCCCCAGGCCCGTGGTTCAACAGGGACCCAAAGGCTGGAGTAGTTTTCCCCAGGTGTGGTAGGTCAGTGGCCACCCTATTCACACAGGCACACCAACTTCCCAAAGATCCAAAACCTATCACAGACTGTGTAGGTCTGTTTTCCCTCTCCATGTTCATACTTTTTGTGCATATTCCCTGAATCGTCACCCACCCAGCTGAGGGGAGTTAGTCACTCTGAAGCCTCTGTGTCATCAAGGCTCAGGATGATCATGTAAATACAGGTTTATGGTCAAACATCTGGGAGCTGCAGCAGGCTCTGGATACAGAGTCTGCCTAGGTGCGTGTAAGCCAGCAGAGTGCCTCCTTATGCTGTGAGGATACTTGCAGCCCCTGGCTCATCTCATGAAATGGTACTGACTGCTGTCTCCAGAACAGCCCTCAGGCCTGGCCTCCTCCTCACCACCTCCTTCCACCACGGATGGCCAATGGCCTTGAACTCTTGTTAGGGTGTGGGAGCATTGGGTAGCCGTGGTAATGTTCTTTGTGCGTATGTGTGTGTGTGTGTGCGCGCATGCACGCATGTGCACACGCGGGCATTTCTGCTGACACAGAGGTATAGCGACAGCCTGGGCATCTGCCCCATGGGGTCATTCTTGTTGTTGCACTGCAGACCCCTCTTCTGCTCTGGATGCCCTTGGGCTCAAGTGGTCTCCCTTTCCCCAGCCTCACCTTTTCTTTATTCAGACACACATGAAAGAGACCCTGTGCCTTTAAAGTGATCTCCGATGGGAAAACTCCCAGCATGGTGGAATGGAAAAGGGTCCTTAACTGCAGTGTGATTTGAAGGCCTGGGAGGCTCAGTTCTGTGACCTGAAGTGACAGTCACATGCAGATATGCCACCCTGGTTCTGGAGGATCTCTCAGGAGGTGTGGAATGAACCTACCTCTTCCATCCCTCATGAGGTATGATGTTCAAGAAAACTCTGGTGTCCTTCCTGTAGCCTTTCTCTGGTGACCTCTACCAGGGTGACAAGAAATCCCGAGGATTTGGAATTTGCTTTTCCTGAAGACAAGGAGCAGCCATTCCCAGACGAGGCAAGTCCACCACAGGGAAGAGTTTAGAGATGTGATGAGAGTCTTTGGATATCACAGTGACCCCAGGTGCTAGAGGCACGATGCTGTCCATCCAGGGCCACCAGGAAAGATCAGCATCCTGGTGAAAAGACACTGGAGGAGCTGGGGTGCCAGCCAGGGAAGATGGGCTCAGAGCTGTTTCATCAGGTCTGTGCTCACATTCGGCCTGGCAGGGTCCGGTGCCTTTTGCCCCCGACCAGCCTGGTCTGGGGCCAACTCTCCTGACTCTCTGATGCTGGCCAGAAATGCTGGCTGTCCTGGAAGCAAGGAGCAGCCTTGGATAATGAAAAACCCTTGCCTGTCCCAAGAGGCTTAGATAGCCAGATGTGCCTCTCCAGCAGGTGAAAACCCCGTTTATAATCACCTGGTCCAGAATTCTGCTTTGTATGGAATCATAGAGCAGTTTTTAGAAGTTCTATTATCCACTGAACATTATAGAGGAGATTGTGCCAAGAGACATCCACCATCTTAGGAAGCCATGCCCTGGGCACTGTGCCCTGCGTGGGGTTTGTGTCCCCAGATCAACCCATACAGGGCTTCACTCAGATGTGCACAGTTCTGACCACTCCATCACATCTCTACTGCGGTTGGACCCAAGCATGTGAATAGTGAGCAAACCGGCATCTTAATTTACCATCAAGGTATTAACATTTATTTTTTAGTTGTAGGTGGACACAATACCTTTATTTTATTTTTATATGGTGCTGAGGATCGAAGCAGTGCTTCATGCATGCTAGGCCAGTGCTCTACCTCTGAGCCCCAGCCCCAGCCCCACCACAAGGTACTTTAATTTATTATGTTACCTTTCATTTTCTATTTTCTTCCCCCCTTATTAGGGTGGGATAATAGTTGATTGTGGGTTTTTTTTTTTTAGTAAATTACACTCTGTATGAACTTCCTTTCAGAGTAGCAGAAGAGCCTTAGGTGAAATGTACTGTGTGGAGAGACTACTTCAATACTTTATATGTGAGTTTCCCATCGCTACGGTAACAAATCAGGACAAAGTTAGTCACTTAAAAGCATGAAGTTATCATCTTACAGTTCTGGAGGTCAGAAGCCAGACCTGGGGTTCGCCGGCTGAGATCAAGGTGTCACAGTGCTGCGCTGTCCTGGAGGAGCGGGAGGGAGGGCCTGCTCCGCTGCCTTTTCCAGCCGCTTCTCTGCCCGTGACTCCTTCCTCCATTTTTATGGTCAGCAGCACTGAATCTCCAGAGAGCTCTCGGACTCCGACCCTCTGGCGTCCATTGTGACGACTCCTTCTCTGACCCTGACCCTCCTGCCTTGCTCTTATGGGGATCCCCGTGATCACATTGGTCCCACCCAGATAATCTAGGATAATCTTTGTGTCTCAAGATCCTTAATTCAATCACATTTGCAAAGTCCCCTTTGCCATGTGTCTCGATGCTACAACTGGATAACACAGACTGAGTCACTTATAAAGAAAGTGTGTTCCACTTGTGATTCTGAAGGCTGGGAAATTCAAGACTGAGTGGCTGTATCTGGTGAGGGCCTGCCCGCTGGTGGGGATGCTGCACCGTAGGTTGTCAATAGAGCATCCCCACGTCCATCTCTCCAGTGCCATTGGACCAGGGCCACCCTCAGTCCTCCTTGGACCTTGATTGCCCTCTGCACTCCCATCTCCAGATGCCGTTGTTGGATCCATTAAGCTTTGATACCTCACGTGGGGATCTCGTTCACCACTGTTTTCTTGTTGGTTTGTTTTTTTATGATACCTGGGATTGAACCCAGGGGCATTCTATCACTGAGCTACATCCCCAGCCCTTTTAAAAAATTTAGTTTTAAAAATTTAGTCTTGCTACATTGCTGAGGCTGTCCTTGAACTTGCCATCCTCATGCCTCACTCAGCCTCTAGTGCTGGGTTTATAGGTGTGCACCACCTGCCTGTCTTGGCATGAGTGTTCGTGGAGACAGTCACTCCATGGACATCCTATGTCAGGTATGTTCAGAGCTCTGGGGATTTGAGCCTGGACATCCCTGGGGGCCTGATTCCGCCTTCAACAGTATTCCTGTCTTTGATCTGGTAAGGTTGCACCTAGGGATATAACTCAAGCTCTGGTCTCGGGTGGGTCCACTTTGTCCTCGATGACAGCTTGGGCTGAACCTGTTCCAGTCCAGCGTCTACAGAAGAGCACAGGGCCCTGCCAGGCTGAGGGAGGACCAGCTGTCACCAGGCAACATGGGTGTGGGCACTTCGCTGGAAGCCGACTAGTCTTCTCCATAATATTTTTTTTTTCTCTTGGGAGTGTGTGATGTTTACTCTTTGAGGCACCAGCTTTCACCGTCTTAAGTTCTTGTGCTCTTTGGATCCATTTGAAGCCACCGAGATACTGTCCAGCCCGTCGGGCTGCGGGAGAACTCCACACCAGGATGTGTGATCTGAGAGGATTTGGGGTGTGCTATCCGGAGCTACAGGAGAGTGGGGAGAGGCAACTTGCCTGAAGGTCCATTAGAACTCCTGCACAGCTTGGTAGTCTGGGGAGGACAATGGAACAGAATAAACAGAGTAGAAGAGCCTTCGCTGAATGATGTGACATGAAGTGCCAAGTGCCAGGCTCTGTCCTTCCATGTGACCTCACTTAACTCCCAAATAAGTCGGCGAGGTAGAGACGGTCACCTTGCTCTTAGGTTTTGTGTCAGGGTGACATTAACAGACCCTTTACTGTTAAGCTACATTCCCAGCCTTTACCTTTTTTTTTATTTTTTATTTTTTTAAATTTTGAGACAGAGTCCCATTAGATTGCCTAGGCTGGCCTTGGACTGTGGTCCTCAAGCTTCAACCTCCTGAGTACCTCTGATTACAGGCATGCACCTCTATGATTGGCTGAGATTGGATAATTTGTAACAGAAAACTTACTGACTCATGATACTGGAGCTTGTGAAGTCCAGGCTCCAGGGGCCACGTCTAGTGAGGGCCTTCTTGCTGCATTGCCACATGGTGGAAGGCATCAGAGGAAGAGAGAGAGGAAGGGAGAGAGAGAAGGAGGACGGGAGGGAGGGAGAGAGAACAAGAGGCGCGGGGGGTCGGGGGTGTGGACAACAGACAGAGGCCAAACTTTTATCAATCCTTTCATCAGGAACCCAAAATAACTAACCCACTCCCTTGACAATGGCCTTAATGTGCTCACAAGGGTGGAGACCCTGTGAACCACTTACCCGCTAACCCTAACCCTAACCTTAATGTGTTCACAAGGGTGGAGACCCTGGGAACCACCCACCCCCTAAAGGGGTGTCAACACTGTTGCATTGTGAACTAGGTGTCCAACACAAGGACTCTGGGGACACATTCAAACCATGGCAGGAGGTATCCAGAAACTAGAAATACTACAGGGAGGATAAGCCACATCTCCAGACCTGGGCCTTTCTTTGGCTTCCGTGAAATGTGCCTGATGGCTAGGGAGAGTGGCACTTAGTTCACTGAGGATCTCAGAACTGTCCCTCCACGGCCCTGGCACCAGGTGAGGAGGACAGAGCACGCTGGTGTTCTCCTGGAAGTAGATGATGTTTAAGGGGAGTTTGATGGGTGGATGGAGACAGGGGCAGGTTTGTGAAGCCGGCCTTCCCTGTGCCCAACCTGCCTCTGAGACAGCTGCATGGCCAGTGATATTAAAGACAAGACACCCTCGGACCTCCATGCCACCTGGGGGAACATGCCCAGGACCTCCATGCCACCTGGGGGGGAACGCCTGGCACCTCCATGCCACGTGGGTGAGGTACGCCCAGGACCTCCATGCCACCTTGGTGGGCACCCCAGGAATCTCCATGTCACCTGGGGGGCACACCCGGGACCTCCATGCCACCTGGGGGGGCATGCCTGGGACCTCCATGCCACCTTAGGGGGGTATGCCTGGGACCTCCATGCCACCTGGGGGGGCATGCCTGGGACCTCCATGCCACCTGAGGGGGGCATGCCTGGGACCTCCATGCCACCTGGGGGGGCATGCCTGGGACCTCTATGCCACCTGAGGGGGGTATGCCTGGGACCTCCATGCCACCTGGGGGGGCATAACTGGGAGCCCCAGGTGCTGGAGAGGAGCAATGCCCCTTGGAACCTGGGCAGTTCTGTTAAGCAGCGTCCCACCAGGCAGAGAGACTGGGGTGGGAAGAGCGTCCGCCTTGGGAAACTCGAGCCTGACAGCTGAAGGGTCCCAGAGCAGCAGGCCACCTTTCCTCTTCCCTTGGGCCACTCTGGAGGTCTGCTCTTGATTGATAGAGGCATCTGGCTGCTAAAAATACCCTCCTGCCTGGCTCCCTGTTCCAGCTCCAGCTGAGCCGACACACGCACATGCACACAGCTTCTTTTTGCAAAGAACCTTTCAGAACTGGTCAGGCCCCATCCCAGGGCTGCACTCGCCCACAGCATCTTCTGCTTTCTCCGCTGTGCTGGGTGACAAGTGAGACCCTTGCCCTGCTGCTGTCTTCTCGCCTGCGTACTCCTGTCTCCAGGAACGAGGTAGAGGGGGAGGTGAGGGCCCAAGGCCAAGGGGGCAGGGAAGGGGAGGTGGCCTGTCCATTTATAGTCCTGCTCTTTGGGATGCCGAAGGTGCCGAAATAGCAGCAGTGACAAAGGGCTTGGCCCAGCGCTGACATCCCCCGTGCACCCGCAGACTCTGAGATGACAATAGGGAGCATGGAGAACGTGGAGGTCTTCAACTCCGAGGGCAAAGGCCGGGGACTGAAGGCCACCAAGGAGTTCTGGGCAGCAGACGTGATCTTTGCCGAGCGGGCTTATGCCGCTGTGGTCTTTGACAGGTATGGCACCCTTGCTTTGGCTTGTGCCAAACTTTAAAATAGGTGGCTCTCATGGTCACCAGGGAGGGGGTGGTGACCACGGGGTCCTCTTAGCGAAGTGGCACTGCTGCCAGGTAACTCCCTTCTGGAGGCCCCAGCATTGCCTGAGATGTGCTGTGGACTCAGGGTGGTGGAGGTGACCAGAGGCCCCTGAACGTCCTCCTGAAACATGTGCCCGTGGCCCAGCTGTGGGTGGGTGCTGAGGGGCAGAGGTGGGTGTGGTGCTGCAGCAGACACCTTCTGGCAGAAGACCCCTCCTGTAAACTTCCTTTGATACGTTAAATAAGCCAAAGACTTGTGGACATATGTTCAAGAATCAAGGAATTGCTGAGACTTGAAGAAATCAACTGTAAATACACAGGTGACACAGGGACCCATGTGCCCTTCAAAAATCTTGTCCAGTCCTGGTTCCTTCTGTCTTTCCTGAGGTAACCTGTGTGATGATTTAAATGTATTTCTTTCCAGAATGTTCTTGTGTTATTACATACAGTCACTGGCACTTACCAAAGTGGCCTTTGGTTTCTTTTTATAGAGATGGCCTCTTCCTTCAGATGCCCTTTTAGAACCTCTCCTTTCCCCACACCACACACTCCTGACGGCCATTCCTGGGGGACTGGGCTCTAGACACTTCCTTTCAATCCTTGGGGACCTGCCTCCTTTAGGGATGCGTAGCACTGTTCACGTTGGTCCAGCTGCTCTGCGGACCCCGGGTTTGAGCTGCCTGATGAGTTCTGCCCCCTATACTCGTGACTCCTGGAGTTGGGGTGTGGCTCAGTGTAGGGCATGCGCTCAGCCTGTGAAGGCCCTGCTGATTCTCCATGCCATCGAGCCTCGGCAGGGAGGCCGGCTGTGGCCATTGCTTGCTGGTGGCTGTTCTCTGGATGTGTGGCTGGAAGAGCCACCCCCAGGCCATCAGAGTGCTGCCTTCAGTTTTAGTAGTGTCTGCCATGACCCTGTCCCCTCAGAACAGCCGCTTTTAAATTAGCTCTTAAAATTGGTTTTCAAAAGCCCTGCCTGGTGATTAAATGAACATGATGCTTTCCGAGCCTGCAGTTGGTGTGACCTGCCTGATGTTTATGTGGCCCATTGGTCCCTGTGATTGGCTGTGGCTCCGCCCGTCCTGGGCATGGGCGCTGCTTTCCAGAGACACCTTGCTGGGCACTCAGGGTGTCCTCTCCCTGCTGCAGGTCCTCTGGGGAAGTCAGAGAGCAGGCCCTGGGGATGGAGTGAGGTCTCCCTCACCAGTCCGTGTGTGTGTTGTGTATGTATGTGTGTGGGTGTGTGTATGTGGGTTTATGTGTGTGTGTGTATGTGTGTGGGTGTGTGTATGTGTGTGTGTATATGTGGGTTTATGTGTGTGTGTGTGTGTGTGTGTGTGTGTGTACATACAACAAGGAGTCAGCTGGTTAAAACACAAAATGCAGAAACACAGGGTCTGGGACTGCTGGTCCTGTTCTGGGGCCAGGCTGCCCCCTGACCTTAAAAGAGCACCCCCACTTAACGCTTTGGGTTCCCCGGAGCCCATCTGGGGCCCAGTCTCCTCCCAGGAGTGTCTGGAGCTGGGCGGGTTGCACCGTTTAGTTGTAGAGAAGCTTGAGGAGAAGTGCGTCATGGCGGAGTGTCTGCTCTCTACACGCTGTTGTCTCCTCGGCTGGTTGTGTCCAGGTGTCAGCATCTGTCTACACAGCTGGGATCTGACCACATGGCTGTGGGGATTTTTCATTTAATGACTACCTATCTCTGGGCAACATACATACCCTCTTCACGGACACAGAGGTTAAGGACTTCGTGTTCTGCCACTTGCTGAGGATCAAAAGTGTAGATGGCTTCTGTATCTCTGTTACTATGAATAATGTGTTATTAATTTGAAGTAATAACTACAAAAACAGCCTTGGAGCATGCTGCAGATAAAATGCTGTACAGTATTTCATATTGTCATTACAGTCGTCGAGGGTGAAGGGGGTGAATGATCTCCAAAATGATTAAAAGGGGGCTTGGGGCATAGCTCAGTGGCAGGCACATGTTTAGCCTACAGGAGGCCCTGGGAAGGATCCCCAGCAACACACACACACACACACACACTGATGGGGAAAATGTAATAGAGATAGTGTTTGAAAGTGATTCACCCAAATTCCTCGCTGCACAGAGGAGGGAGCTGTTTCTATGGGCATCTCATGCCCGAGACAGCCTGGAAATGGTGAGAGGAAGGCTTTGCCCATCGAGGGCTCCTGCTGAAGCTCAGAGACTGTCCAAGAGAAACACAGCTGGGCAGGTAGGACAGGAAGTCCCTCTGCAGACGTGACAGGCTCTAGTCCACAGATCAGCAGGACAGGCCTTCTGCATGAGGCCTGTTTTTAGTTGAGTAGTGCATTAAATGAAAATCAGTTCCTTCAATTAATGGGTGGTGCCTACCGTATCCTGTAACACCCTGTTGTGATGAAGCACAGTGTGAAATGGGCACGGGAGGCCACCAGCTCCCCCTGGGGTGCTCTAGCCTGCTGCCCCTTCACCTCCCTTCTGAGTCCTGTGTCCTGCCTGCCCAAAGCCCAAGGGTACCCTAAGATTTTTCTCATACACTCTACTGCTTTTCTCATACAGTTTACTCACAGGGTGAATATTTCTAAGCCATATACAACTTGGTTTCTATTTCCTTTTTAATCAAAGGTACAACGATGCATGTGGTTTTGTGCCAATTGCTTCCTTCACTCTCAAGTTCATTCTCATCCATGTGGCTTTGCCTAATTAATAAATAAATGAGCTATGTGTTGTGTGTGCCACACGCATCTTCCACCCCCTGATGGTTGATCAGGGGAGACTTGTTGCCCTGTCCCTTGGAGGGCAGACACTCGAGGTGCGTGCCCTTGCTGGCTTGCAGGTCTCCGCTGCCGCTGCCGTGCATTCCACTTTCCCGCCCAGGGCAGGGGTGAGCTGGTCTAGCTCATGCTGCTGAGCCTGGCCCTCACAGCTGCCTGCCAAGGTCTTCAGTGTGCTCAGGATGTCTTCCCCTTTGCCGGCTGGACACATGAGGCATCTGCTTAGAGGTCAGGGAGACACAGAGAGCTGATGTCAGAGAGCACACCAAGAGCTGGGAGGACTCTCTCAGGCCTCGGCAGTGTGCAGTGTGTCCCATGGTCCCTGGCAGGTGTGACCAATCCCTCAGGCACACCTGCCCCCCCTGAACTTCAGTCTGGTCTCAGAATCCTCCCAGCAGGTACTCTGGCGGCCACTGCCCATCATCCCAGGAATGGGAACTGGCTTTGGGATGAAGTCCATTTGCCCCCTGTGGGTGCTTCCATGGGACTGGGTGCCAGAAAGGAGGGAGAGTGAGGTGGTGGGGGAGGGAAACTTGCAGGGAGCCTCTGTGAACACAGAGTTTTAAAGTGGTGAGACACTGGTTTGGGGATGAGCTGGCAGAGGCCCTTTAGCTGTCCCCTCTGAGGGTTCCCAGGTCCTGGGAAGACAGGAACAGGGAGCCCACAGGACCTTAGCCCCATGCCCTCGCTGTTCTGCAGTGGGGTGGATCTGGGAACTGGTGATGCTGGATTGATTGTTGCTGTTTAGATTTTTTTCTACTTTATTTTAGAAAATTTGTAAATTGTAAAAAAAAAACAAAGGAGGGAAATTAAAATGATCTGAAATCCTACCATTTGGAGAAAACTACAATTAACATTCTGATGTATCTCTTTCTGTCTGTCTCATGAAAATATAATGCATATAAAATATTCTCTTGCTCCCAATGGGGTGTATGTGGGCTGAGGGTGCTGGGAGAAGCACTCCCTTGACTGTGAGGTAGTAAGTACACCTGATTGTAAGGTGTTAAATTCCAGGTAGTAAAATACGGGGGAAGAAGAAATATGGGTCACATATAGTATTTTATCAATTCCAGGACATATATTTCATTTTAACATCTCCAAGTTCGTCATGTGAGGCCGGGGTTATAGCTCAATGATAGAGCATGTGCTTAGCAAATGTTGAGGCCCTGGGTTCAATCACTACAAGAGTGAATAAATGAATAAAAATAAGCAAATAACATCATGATGGATGCTACAATCTATGGTTCATTATAGTTTAATAGGCAGAATTTTTTTGTTTCTTAGTGGTAAATACAAATGGTGTGTTTAATAATCATTTAATACTTCTAATAACTAAAGAATATTAAGTGGTGCACTTAGTTACTTTAGGTTCAATGTAGTGGAGTTGTATATATATTTTTTTCTCAAGAGATGAAATTATTTTGAAACCTGTTTCTTTTTAAAAATATCTTTAATTTTTTTTTAGTTGTAGATGGATAATACCTTTATTTATTTATCTTTATGTGGTGCTGAGGCTTGATCCCAGTGCCTCACAAATGCTAGGCGAATGCTCTACCACTGAGCCACAACCCCAGCTCCCCTGAAACCTGTTTTCTTTACTTCACAGCATGTTGTGACATTCCAAACCATTAATGTCCTTCCACACCTTTTACACACCCATGTAGTGCTCCTTTTGTTGACCCTTGTTTATTAATTTAACCAGATATCAAGGGGGGTCCTACTCTTTCCTAGTAAGTCTTCCCATAGGTGTCTGATTATTTTTTGAAGATAAACTCCTGGAAATAGTTTTTCTTCTTTCTTTCTTTTTTTTTTTACTTCAAAAGACATTTGTCAGGCTTTGGATGTAGATTTCCACATCACCTCCCCAAAGGGGCCACGCTGCCTTCTCTGGCAGTGAAGGTTTACCTACCCGCCCCAGCCTTGGTGAGCAGTCATTAGTTACTTTTTTATGTTTTCCAACTTAATCTGTAAAATCTTACTTTACTATTGTTATAATTTGAGTTTTCATTATTAGAGAAGTGAACTTTTAAACTGCTTATTAGTCATCAACATGTATTATTTTATGATTTGGTTTTCTTTGAATGTCCTCAAGTTTTAAGAAAAGAGGGTCCCCATTAGGACGGTTCCCCACAGTCTTCACCTCTAGAA